CTCCCATCAGTGCCTGGCAAGATCATGGAGCAGGATCCTTCTGGAAACTACGCTAAGCCACATGAAAAACAAGATGATTGGTGACAGCTAACATGACCTCATTAAGGGCAAATCATGCTTGACAGATTTGGTAGCCTTCTATGATGAAGCCATAAATCATTGCTGGGTAAGGGAACAGCAACAGATATCATCTTCCTGGGCTTGTGCAAGGCATTTAACGCTGTTCTACATGACATCCTTACCTCTAAACTAGGTTTTGGGGAATATTGCACTGACCATGTAGGGAATGGAGACTGTATGACACCATCAAACATTTTTTGTGTGCTTGGCTGAGTTGCCATTTGGTTAAAGGATTAATTTACTTGAAAATCATAAAGGGATTTGTTATAAAGAAATAACAAAATTCCTTCATTTGCAAAAGTTATTTCTTTTTTCCCACAATGTTGTACATATATCAAGAGAGAGACAGACATATCTATTTATATTTTCTGACAGCAATTCTTTTAAGAATAGATTAAATTTGGGACAGTGATATAACTGGAACCATAAAATTGAAATTTATTTACAGATAAGATAGTTTCAGCTAAAACCATACCCTAACAAAATCTCTATAAGATCTCTATAAGAATGTGAAAAGGCTTTTCTTTTCTTGAGAGTAAAGATATAATTATGTTTTACATTGTGCTCATGAACTACAGTCTTTAAGAAGCAGATCTTAAAAGAAATAAGTCCCTAATATTTACACTATTCCAGAACTAATATAACTGTGGAAAATGGATTTATTGCAGTTGTAATACTTAAAGTAACAGCATAGAAGTAATTTTTCATTTAATTAGGAGGTTTTGTTTATTTGGTTTATTTTATTACCATTGGCCATCAAACAGAGCACCAAACAGTAAACAATAATAGAAATTCTATTGAACTAATAAAAGAGGCAGTCAGATTTTGGAAGAAACACTCCTATTCTGGAGTTTATTCAAAATAGTAAATATCTCTGTTAAAACAGGTCTGTCCAACTGCTGCCTAGCTGAACAAGGTCTTAAAAGGAGTTATTGCTTGGAGGTTGTATTCCCCAGTTCAACTAATCAATCACAATAAATTTCAGTCTTTCTCCAGAAACCAAATAATTTTGATGGATACAGCACAAAATATGTTTGGTGTAAGGTGAATTTTGACCACTTCTCTGATTTTAAACGATAGAAGCTGGTCACATTTCCAGTTCCCATGGAGGTGTGATGCCCCTTTCGTAGGCATATGGCCAAGAAACTGCTGAGGCATGAAGTTTAAACTTTATCTATTGTTAAACAACAACAACAACAACAACAACAACAACAACATTACAACTCTATCTGCCAACCTTGTGTTATATGGAAGAAAAAATATTATTTTCATATTAAGGACTGGAGTAGATGTGAGGTTAGGGGAGCTCTTGTAAATTGACTCTTATTAGAGCAAAAGAGCATGTTCAATCTCAACAAATGGGGCTTCAAAGCATCTTTATACCTGTTCCAATACCTAGGGCCTTTCCAATGAAGGCACCTGATTGTAATGTAGAGAAGTACACCTCCTGCCTTCAACAGAGAACCTCAATGGCCCCAAGGTACTACACAGTCAGTCTGTGCTCACCAATGTCTTCCCTTTGCAGCGGTTCACAGAAGAGAGGACATGGTTTCACTGTCAGCAAAAAGGGAATCCAGTTTTTAGAGCCTATATGACCCTAGACTCTCTGCTACTCCAGAGTTTCACATTTGAAAGGTTTTACTTTATTAACTCTGAATCTCACATAGACCACTAATAGCTGAGCTACACTTTTGTTCTGATGTCCTCAGCACTGGCCTCATATTCAGGAGCCTTTGTAACATGTGTTGCCAAAGCCTTGCTCATGTTCAGGGGTGACTTTTACCCGGTCCAGTGTGTGCCGGGTTGCTCTGCCTAAAGCAGTGGGACAGTACCTGCTGCTGCCTTATTTTCAGCCAGATAAGTAACAAGGGAAAAACAAATGAACTGGTAGTAAAGTCGTTTCGTCAGGGGTCTAATTGGCATCAGCAACTTGAAAACTGCAGGTAATCAGTGTAAACATTTGGAATAAATTATTTCTATTAGATATTTTTCCAATGTGAATAAAATTTTCTGAAATTAACGGAAACCCTGTGGCTTTCAGAACCTTTATTAGGTAACCAAACATGCTATTTTACACAGTGCATTTTAAAAAGAAAATTACTCTGACATTGCACAAAAAACGAAGCAAACCCATTGAATACTGGCATGAATGTCTTTGTGTGAATTCAAGCTGTTATGCTTGTGGGATCAACCCAGATACTGCAGACACAGGATTAACCCAGATTTCATTTTCAAAGGTTTCTTCACAGCAGATTTTAATGAACACTGATATGAAATCCTTACACTCTATATGGACATCAACAGTCTCACAGCATTTTGAATAAATACAGGGGTTTCCTAGGAAAGCCTGGTCTTTTAACCTGGATGTATGCCTTGCACAGAATTAGATGAAATTCACATAATTCGGGAAATGAATTGTGTTCTACTTAGCACTCCGAGGGAAAATAGATGCACTTATTTTGGTCTGGTGTGTCAGACTGGGGAGCCATATCAAACTGAGGGACTATATTCATATCAGACTTGGAGCCCCTGCCTTGGAGGGGCTGAGGACAAGGAGGGTGAAGTGAGGGAGAGCACTAGGGAGGTGGCAGGGGGATACACACATTTGCAAATGAGCAAATCAAACCGGCAGGTGAAATAAAATGTTGGTCAGCACTTCACTAAGCAACCAGAACACTGAATGATGTATGAAACAAAAATGCAGTTTTCTTCATCTGTCTCCAAAGAGAAACAGAAACACTACCAGCCAGTGCCTCTATCTCCATTTTTAAACATGTTTATTATTTTAGGAAGGTTCTAGCAGCAATGAGGATGAAATCTGAAATCCAAGTTAGACTTCTGCTATCACCTCATTCAGATCTCCCATCAGACAGTTGCTTGGTGGTACAGGCAGCTCGTAGAGCAGCAGTCACCATGACCACTCCTGTAAAAGCAGCACAGTTTTCCTCTGGTGACAAGTGATGACACTGAATAGAGAGGTAGTGTAGATTTTATCATACCCTGATGCTCACTCTCGCACACAGCATTACAGACCTTAAGTCTGGCTGTGATTTTAGCTGAAAAAGCTGCCATTTTAAATGTCTCTGCCATTAAATTTCTGTGCCCTGATCTCTCATTAGCTTCCTCTATGATTACTGCTCTTGCTCCAGCCTGTGGGTTAAAAAATAAAGGGACACAGCTATTTTTCATGTATGCCTTTGAAAAAATCCATGCAGCAAAAATGAACCTCCTCTGGTGGCAATCAACATAGCAGGGCTGCAGTCAATGCCAGTCTACATCAGCTGAGGGGCTGATCCCACTGCACCACCTTAAGGGATTTTACTTCTCCTAGGGATGATGATAAAACATAGAAACAGCTATATCAAAGTAAAACAGATGAAGCAGAAAATTGACAGAACTGTCTATCCAAAAGGCTCCATTTAAAGAATTTCACAAAGAATCATAATGCAGTTAGCTTGGAAACAGTTAACATGCTAAAAGGAGTCATCAGCTTGGTAGCAAAAAGGAAAAAAAAAAGCATCATGAAGGTACTGGAAGAGTACTGCACTGCTATGCTGCAGCATCCTATAGTTATCTGAAAAAATTCTCCCCTGCCTGTACTCAACGGAAGCCTGAGCAAAATGGCAATTCCTGTTGCCCCACAGAAATGCAATCACATCTTTGACTGGAAACACCAATGTTTGACATCCACAGACTGGTGGTAAACTTGATTGCAGCATTTATGTAGGCTGATATCAATTACTTGGACTTAACTGCATTGTGTTTACCAGAAAAAGATGAATAAATTGCAGAACATGACTGCAGGGTCTTGGAGAGGCAGGAGAATTATCCTGCCTGTAGCATAACTTGCAGTGTGGTCTACAAGTGCATGTGTGCGCACAGATATTCTGCACACCATCTCCTGATGCAGGTGCACTGTTCAAACACGTACACACACACACACACACACACACACACACACACACACACACACTTATTCCACAAACAACCTAAATATCTTAATTCTAAAAACACAGCTCAGCTCACTTGCTGTGAGGATAAACTGTCCAGTTCTAATAATCTTTCTCAGATATTTTAATCACTGAAATTCCTCAGGCTCCCCTACTGAACTAATATAGCAAGATCTGACCCAAAATTTCTCACTGGTTACAAAAAGATCACATGTATGTTTTTGTTCTTATCTTTGCTATGCACAAATATGCTCCTGACAGGAGGGATAAGCAATAGAAACAGCAAGGATGGCTTTCAAATGATGCTATCTGCAGCTGTCATGGAGACCAGCAGGGACTGGGATTGCTTGGCACCCTGTTAAATATCAAGGCGCCTCTCCATGTAGATACACACATATGCATCAACACCTTCCCTGCATGTACATACATGCCCATTTTATTATGCTATGCACACCTAATAACTTCATCCTACAATGAAATCTTTACACACATACACAGATGCACGCTAACTAACACTCCTTCTGCAATGCACACACACAAAACCTAACAACAGGCACCAGAGAAATCCAACACAGCTCTGCAGGCTGAAAGTGCTGGTTGAAGCCATGCAGCACACACCCAAGCCACAGCGATTGGTGTCTCATCATTATGTATAATAAATAACAGCATTTAATAATGTCAGCACTGTTGTGCTGCCTGCACTCACACCCTCCCGACTCCACGCTCCTAAACCGTTTAAAAAACATGGTCCTGTGCATGAAACACACGGAATGAAAAGCAGGCAGGACATGATCACTGCAAGAGATAGGCTCCGGCAGTGAAAGCTGCTTCATGTCAGAGTGGGCTTTTCCCAGCTTTCAGACGTGTGATCTGCATGTCTAATAATGAACAGATTTAGTCAATCCATCATTTCTGGCATCAGTCCCTTACCTTGAAATGCTGCAGCTGAAGTATCTGGTCCTCAAGCTGTTGTCTCTTGCCTTCTATTTCTGTCTGCCTTTTCCTTTTCTCCTTGGAAAAATAATTTTGAGAGAAAGAGAGAGAGAGGGAGAGAGAGGGGAAGAGAGAGAGAGAGAGAGAGAGAGAGAGAGGGAGAGATATCTCGTCAGAGAAATGTAGGCTTTAAGGGTAGCAGATTCGTAACAGCATGTAAGCAGTCAAACACATCTGTACAGATGTCACCAGTCCCATTTCACCTGCTCCTCTGCCTGCTGGTATGCAAACAGCAGTGTCCTGGGAAGATGCCAGCCCCAGACTGCCTGGTTACTTGCCAGTAGGAGAAATTCTCCTCGCTTGCTCCCAGCAGCCGGAGCAGCAACAGTGCACAGTCCCAGAGGAGGGGAGAAAACAGGCATAACAGCTAAGAGAGAAGTTAAAGGGACAAAGATGTGATTTTCCATTTGACATGCTGGGGCCAAAACCATGGATACTGGGGTGCACTCTTGTGACAACAAGATGTCACAAAAGCAGGGGTGGCATCATGGAGGAAGACAGCAGTCTGCAGACCTCATTTTTCCCCAGCAGGGTTGGTGGTAAGGCTTTCCCTAGACTCAATGGGGGAAGATGTTTCAGCAAGATTGCTGGGATTTACATACAAAGTAAATGGGATTGGTAATGTCCAGCTGTCTGTGTTTAACATTCAAGTCACCAGCACATGCCAGCAGCTGGCCCTTACCACCTCCCTAAGCTGGAGTGACCGAGTGGTGCCAAGGACAGCAGAGTCCTGTGCACAGCTGAGCTGTTACAGCCCCGCTCATTGCCACTCGCCGGTGCCCAGGCTGCCCCCTTCAGCAGGCAGCAGACTCTCTCAGGTGTTTCAAGAGGATAATGACCTGCTTTTTCCCCCTGCAACACCTTCCTCTTAAGCAGGTAAACTCTTTGCTTTTGTCAGCCTTCTGCACTTTCTTGGGAGCATTTCTCCTCATCCATCCATCCATCCATCCATCCATCCATCCATCCATCCATCCATCCATCCATCCCCATCCTGGACGAGGTTCCCTCTCCTCAAGACCTTTTCTCATTTTAGATTTTGCAGCCAAGACAGAAATACTGAGTAATAAATGAAGGCAGTCAGCCTCTGTTTTTACTGGAACAATGGTTTTTATTTCTTATCTGCAAACCTATTTTTTTTTGTTATTTAAATATTTCAGTAACTGTAAGGTTGGGTTTGAAAACATTTGGGGATTCCTTAAATCCACAAAATAGTTTTTCTTACTTATTTCTAAGTGTCCCACTGATGCTCTGGGAATTCTCTGCTTTCCAGGGATTTCAAGCCTTCATGCCTCATCCTTAAGAGTATATGATAAGATTCTGCCTATGCAGAATTAATCATCTTTATGTTGGATGTCAAACAAGGCCTTTTGGGAGGAAAACATTACTTTTACAAGGAGGATCAGGAAACTTTAAAAAAATTATTAGTTAATGTCAAGTTCACTAAAAACAAAGCAAAACATAGAGGTAGAAAACTGCCTGGACCACTTCTGCCAAAGAGCTAGATGCCAGAATGGTGATGGAAAGGCTGGAGTAATGAACCCATAAGAAGCAGAATAGCTAAATGTTGCATACACTAAGCTGTTCTGTAATGTTTTGCACACTCTTACATGCTGATTATTCGTGTATATCTACACTTACACACACAGTCTGCATTGTCTGCAATATGTAAGACTACTGCTGAACAAATATATCCTCATAGAATAGAATCCTAGAATCATGGAACGGTCTGTGTGAGAAGAGACCTGAAAGACCATCTTGTTCCAACCAACCTGCCAAGGGCAGAGTCACCTTTCACCAAAACCTGTTGCTCAGGGCCCCATCCAGCCTCACCCTGGACACTCCCAGGGCACCCAAAACTTTCAGGCAACCCATTCTAGTACCTCACCACCCTCACAGTAAAGAATTTCTTCCTAATATCTAATCTAAAGCTACTTTCTTTCAGTTTGAAGCCATTTCCCCTTGTCCTGTCTCTACATGCTCTTGTCAAAAGTCCCTCTCGGTGTTTCTTGTAGGGTCCCTTCAGCTATGGGTAGGCTGAATTCAGTTAATGCCTTCTCTTTTTCAAACTGAGAAATACCAGTTCTCTTAGCCTTTTCCCAGGAGAGCTGCTCCATCCCTCTAATCATCCTGTTGGATGATCATCATCCAGCCCTCCTCTTGCTCTAACAGATCTGCTGAAGTTGTTATAGAGTAGGAAAATCAGAATTTCCAGTAACTAAAATGTCACAAACCTTGACATCTCACTGGTCACACACAGAAGACAGTTTTCATTTATGCACATACAGGCATACAGAATTTTTGTGCACCTTTAAAAATCCTTCTGATAAAGAACTGTGATCTGTGGATCATCAGTCCTATCCTCCAGTCTGCATTAGCCCTTTCCAAGCTTGAAGTGAATAGGGTATTAGATGGTTATGGGCTTAAAACCCCAATATTATTCAGGGACATTTCTTGCCTTTTTTTTTCATTCTGTGATACTAACAGCATACATGGAGTCTGAAAACCAGAATTTGTTTTCTGTTTTGTCCTCAAACAGCTGGTCAGACATGGACCAGAATAAAGCTGTTCTAAAAGCTGTTGCAGTAATGGCCTAATATTCTTAGAATAAGAATAATTCTGCCCTTTTATTCAAACTGGCCAGGTGAAAAAATATTGGATTTCATATATGTAGACATTAACACCCCACACTTGACACTCCATACGCTAGCATAAGGGACACACATCTTCACTGCTAAGTGATCTAGATTGATAAGTGCGTCTATATATATATATATATATATATATACACACACACATATGTTTATACATAAGTTTGTATGCACACACCACATACACACGCACATATACACACACATATATATATATACACACATGTATATGTGTATGTATTCTACCATCCACAAAAAACTTGCCACTAAAATATGTAATAGAAACCACCACTATAGATCCTTTGGCTGGTTGTGTCATGCTGTATAATGGATGTGACAAGAAAGCCTTATAAAAGATAGATGAAAACTCCTTTTCTTTTTGAGAAAGGGAAAGCACTTAGAGTATTTTCCCTGTAGGCAGCAACACAGCAGGCACTAAAATACTTGAACTACTTACTAACTAGTGGATTTCTGTGGAGTTAAATTGGAATATTGCTCACATTTCCATTTCACTGGCATTCAGACAGCCTGAGTGTGTATGCCTTTATCCTCTGATTTTGTACAAGTTATGGCTGAGAAATATGAAAACAAAAATACTCCTTCCCCCTGCCCTGAAAGACTGTGCAAATCAATCAGCTATCAGGGCATTCTGCCTTCAGGCCACTATATCACATTGCGTTTAGGTTTATCCCAGTCACTGAAGGTTGGGACTATATGTGTACCTGGTTTATGTAAGCAGGTTTTAGAACAGTAGAAGACTGGACTGGATGACAAAAATCCTATGAAACTCATCATGTCAAGGTTTTAGACATGATGTCATCCTCCACTTAAACAGTCCTCTAATTCAGTACTTTACTGAAAATGTGGGATTTGAAGCACATGCTTAACTTGAGCATTTGTTAAAGCACTTTTCTATGAGTAACCCAATACATCTTCCTCATTACTTTGTCCATCTTTTACAGAAAACTTTTTTTCTAGGTATTCCTGCTAAATTACAAATTTCTAAGGGTCCTGGCACCAAGAAAATAAAAGGCTTGCTTTAAACAAAAAAGTTTACTCCAGAAACTGGATTGAAGAGAGGTGGAAAGACTGGAACTAGTTTTATTGTGATTGTGGCATGTTCAAAGGAAAACTACTCTTGTGTCTTTCTGAGGTGTGCTGCTTTTTTAAGAATAGAGATAGTTGTCACAGATAGTTACCCTTCCAAAATGGTAGAGGAGTTCCATTTGGGAGGTAGTCTTGTGGCACTCTGAATATTTGAGATATTAATGAGCAAAACAGGATTTAACCTTTGCATCTCTCACTTCACCAAATTACAGGGAAAATGAGAAAGCTAAAATACTTTTTTTTTCCCCACTCAGATCTACAGGATGGGAAAAGAACAGAGGTCAAACAGGAAGTTGACTCATGTTGTGGAAAAATGAGATTTGTATTCAGGCATTCATACATGGATGTGCAACCTGTATTATTTATTTATGTTAATTTATAATAAATTTATATCCAAGAAACTAGATTTGGAAAGGATTAAATTCTTAGCACTAAAGTTGGTCAGGGGCATCTTCCTACTGCTAAAAACCAAATATATGAGATTGTCAGTAAGAATCCTTGCACTTGGAAGAGCAAGAGGCATTGGGAGGATCAAATAGAGATCATTAAAATCATGGAGACAGCCAGCAGACATCTCTGCTCACTGTGTTTTCCACAGAAAGGAGAAAAAGACCATCAAGTGAAACAGGATGGGGCAGGTTTGAAGCCAATGCAATGGTCTGCTGTGGAAATCCATGCCTCAGGATGCTGTGGGTTCTAGAATGTGATGGATGTCCCAGGGGAGCCTGGGGACAGTCAAAGAGAAGGAATATTGTGAAGACAGTTTACTACAGAAACTGAAATACACCCGGTTCAGGAAGCCCCTGAACCCCATATGATTTTAAGATCTTCTGCTAAGTTTTTGTAGGTTTTTATCCTTCTTTCATTGTTAATCTTAACAACTACTGACTTTCTTGTCTGAATAGTGCATTACATTGATCAAAACAACCTAGAGTTTAGTATCACATTTGTCAAACTCTTTCAGTCAAAACAACTAAACAAGCACAAACTAGTGCCACGAATTACAAAAAACTCAGACCCAAAGCAAGTATAGGATCTTGAAGAAAACAAGTTATACCAAAACTAATCTCTGCAATACTGCAGTCAGAGAATCCTTCATTTTTCCATTACAAAATAATTTTTGTTCTTGTTTATAAATCTGACTGCAGAGTGTGTCAAGCGATACAGAGATTACTCAGCCCACCAAGCCATAACTGTCTGTGGAGACACATGCACCTCTACCAATCCTTGGGGCAGTAAAGAGCTGGTAAAGCCCTTTGATCT